TATTATGCTGAGTGAAATAAGTTAGACTTATATGCGGAATCTAAGGAAGAAAAGAACAAATTAATCGAAAACAGACTCACAAATATAGAGGACAATCTGGTGTCTGACAGAGGGGAAGGGGGCTGGAAGAATGGGGTGAAGGGTTAAAGAAGTACAAATTAGTAGTTGATAGATGGTCATGGGGATGGGGTGCACGGCATAGGGAATGCAGTTAGCATTAATGTAATGGCTAGGTGGAGAGCCAGGGGAGCCAGGGAGAAAGAGCAATTAGGGGGATCATTTTGAAAACTATATAAATATCTAACCAATGTACTATATACTTGAATCTAATAATAAAATAAAATTTTAAAAAATTACGAAAGTAATAAAACATGCAATTTAAAGTCTTGTGGGACTAGAAGCGTCTACTTCTGCTGTTAGAGAAACCACTGTTGTAGCTGTTTCTTCCAGTATTGACACTGAATTTCTATAATGCACATAAACAGATATATCTTTATCAGTTGTTTACATTATTTAGTCACTATCATGTAGATGAGGTACAATCTTCCAATTGAGTCTACAATTTCTATTTAAATTCTAATTCAGAATTTCTATCAATTATGGCTGCATCAATATTGTTAACTGCTGAGCCAAGTAATATAATTTGATTACGTTCCGTTCTTGCACTTTTGTTTCTTCTGATGTTCATAATTGTTTCATTTAAAAATTTGCTGCATATTCTTTGAAGCTGTTGCAGTCTTTTCCCTTTTTTGCGGGGGTGGGGTGAGTGCTGAGTAAATATATACATTTATTCTGTAACTTTTCATAGAGGAAAAAGGTTTCAATTGCTCTATTATTAATGTAGTAACAGACTTCAATTCTTTAAGTAGTTGAGAAAGTTTTGCTGAAGTTCCAAACTTTAAATAAACAAATTGGTAAAACCAAGGAGCAGACAGACTTTCATGGCCCCTCTTGTAATTTTCAAATATTGAGCTTATCTTATTCTTCCTTGTAGCATTGTATTGTAACTGTTGACTTTGCCCTATTACCCAATAAACTAGATGTTGCTGCTCTAAATAGCCCTTTATGTCTGTACCTCTCAAATTGGGCTGTTCCTGCAGTTAAACATTATCCCAAGATAAACATGGCCCATCCTCCTCAAGCGCTTTGAAGGGGAACAAAAACATATCATTGAAAGAAATTCTGATACATTTCTGATTAGAATAAAACATCTACAATAATTTTAAGATAAACTTGCAAGACAAGTGGTGTGTATTCACTCTCCTCCACTATGAGGGCTATTTGGGAGGAAAAGATGAGGAAGCCTGCTTTATGCCAGGCCTGTATCTATGGAAAAGGTCTTCCAGCTGAGAGAAGTGATCTCCTGTGGGTCTCTGAGTCACACCAGCATGGCTTTGACTTGGTCCTTCAGACAGCATCTTTCTAAACTCCAGATTCTTTGGAGCAACTCCAGTCTTGAGGTGGCTTTTTCTGTATATCCTTAGTTATAGGACTTCTGTTCAGCTACACTTCAGGTTGTTCTCAATGGTAGTTGTTCTGTAGTTTAGTTGTAATTTTGATGTTGCAAAGCCTTCTTTAACCATAAAAAGTCTGATACTATAATTCTCTACACACGGTCATATAACCAGTATTTCAGCTGGACTTTTTTCCCTAGAGTCACAGAGATGAATCAGTTTTATGAAGCCTGACACATACACAATTTTGGGGGGCTATCCCAATGAAAGAATATAAAAATGGGAATACAAAATTAAGCATAAAATTAATATTTACTTAAGTTAGAAAAAACTCACAAATTTAAAAAGCTGAAGCTACCATAAACATCACAACATCCAGAAAAATAATATAATATTTTAAATAATCTTCCAACACACCTCTAAACTCCATTTTCCCTATACTTCTTTGCTGCACACTCATTGGTAACTGTCCATAGAGAGAAAAAAAGATAGTTGAGTGTTTTCTCTAGCATGTTTCTGCTTTATTACTGGTGTAAAGTCCTTTATGGCATGCTCATGTGTCACCTTCGTGTAATGAGTTTGCATAGTGGATGACAGAAGTATCCCTACCCTAAAATACATGGTGTGACTGCAAACCACATATCTATGCCCCTCTCAATCCAGCCAACTTCTTAGTAGGATAAACACAAGCCACCGACCCAAAGAAGGTGGGGGAGTTGGAGTGGAAAGTGACAGTGGTCATCTTAAGTGATTATAGTCAAAATAACTTTTGTTTTCATAATTTACAAAAACTTATGACCATGTCGCTAGGGCACACGAGGGGCCCTTGACCTCAAGCTCCCTTAGACTCATTGTCCGTCTACTTCTGTACCTCCCCGCAACTCCCCCTGCCACATAGCCAGTCTTGTGTCCTCAGCTCCCTCCAGAGAGATTGTCTCTAAGCCTGTGGCAGAGCAGTTATCTTGGGACTTCTCACTCATCCTGAGAAATTTCTGGACCTTTCTCATTCACCTGAGTTGAATCCTCTCTTGCCTGGATTCATGTCTTCTCTGGTTTATTCCCTTGTTTTGTTGAAGCATCCCTCCACCCCCGCCCCCCGGCCCCTCCAGTAGCTTTCAGGAAAATTGGGTAAGGAAGGGATATTCTTTGATAGATTGATTGATCATCTGTGGGACTATAGAATTCTAAGTTGAGAATAATCTCCCTTCAACGTTTTGTGGTCCTCACTCCATGCTCTCCAGCTTTCAGTGCACTGTTGAGAGATCTGACCCTAGTCTAGGGTCAGATGTGTCACGAAGGTGACACACGAGCATGCCATAAAGGACTTTACACCAGTAATAAAGCAGAAACATGCTAGAGAAAACACTCAACTATCTTTTGTATGTGAACTCTCCTCTCTCTTTAAGATGTTCCCTTAATCCTGGTGTCTGAAAATCACCACCGATGAGTTTTGGTAGGAGCCTTTCAGTCATTAGACCAGGCTCTCACCAGGATTTCTTAATCTGGGAGAATAGAAGATGATGTAAGAGAAATGGTTGAGAACCAGATGATTGATTTTTTTGGGTTAAGTTGAGGATTCTGCTGTTACTTGCTCGAAATCTGTTGTCTATGTCAGGCACTGCCTTCCTCCCCTGCTCAGTGACCCCAGGGTTATCATGTAAAAACCTCAAGAGACTCATTTTGACATGTAACATTAACATCATATTATTGTTCAGTATTTATCTTTTAATCTTAGATTTTGGGTTTTTATGTCGCACGTACTCTTTTCAACGATTGACCCATATTCTGAATCAAAAATATAACTTTTTAAATTATTACATTAAAAGTAAGTGCTAAGTGTTGATAAGTGAAAGAAGCAAATCTGAAAAGGTTACATTATATATGATTCCAACTATATGACATAGAAAAAGCAAAACTATGGATAGAGACAGTAAAAAGATCAGTGGTTGGCAGGGTTCCAGAGGGAGATAGAGTAGGGATGAATAGATGGAACATGGGATTTTTAGGACAGTGAAACTATTCTGTATGATACTGTAGAAGTGGATACATGATATTATACATTTGTCAAAACCCATAGAATGTACAACACTAAGAGTAAACTCTAATGTAAACTATGAACGTTAGTTAATAATAATGTATCAATATTGGCTTATCAGTTGTATAATTGTACAAGATGAAATAAGAAAGTAAAGGAAGAATAAAATAAAAATTACAATGAAAATAATTTTCTGTACTTTTGAGTTATTGGGATGACTCACAGGAAGAACAAGTAAATTTAAGCATGGCCTATGGTTGTAAACAGAACATCTGATAAAGTAACACTGACTCTAAAAGATGAACAAATAATGGGAGGCAATAGTTTCCAATAATAATGATAATAATAAATTAAAACAAGTTATTATATGGTGCTTTTAGAAATAATTTCGCCACATAAATCTGTCAAAAAAAGACCTTACGAAATGCTCCCCAAGAGACATTTTTAAGTTGCATTTTCTTATTATAATATAATTAAATTAAAATAGAGCTATCATACGATCCAGAAATCCCACTTCTGGATATATACCTAAAGGAAATGAAAACAGAATATTGAAGAAATATCTGCACTCTATGTTTATTGCAGCATTATTCACAGTTGCCAAGATATAGAAACCACCTAAGCGTTCATCAGTAGATGAATGAATAAAGAAAATGTGGTATATATGTACAATGGAATATTATTCAATAATGGAAGGAAATCCTACCATTTGCAACAACATGGATGGACCCTGAGGGTGCTATGCCAAGTGTAATAAGCCAGACAGAGAAAGACAAATACTGCATGGTATCACTTACATGTGGAATTTTAAAAAGCATCAGATTCATAGAAACAGAGAGTAGAAAGTGGTTGCCAGGGGCTGGAGATGGGGGAAATTGGGAGAAGTTGATAAAATGGCACAAACTTTCAGTTATGAGTAAGTTCTGAAGATCTATTGTAAAATATGGTGACTATAGTTGATAACACTGTATAGTATAATTGAAATTTGCTAAGAGAGTAAACTTAAGTGTCTACACTAAAAAAAGAAAGAAAGAAAGAAAGAAAGAAAGAAAGAAAGAAAGAAAGAAAGAAAGAAAGAAAGAAAGAAAGAAAGAAAGAAAGAAAGGAAGAAAAATATGTGAGGTTATAGATATGTTAACTAGATGGGGAATCTTTTTACAATGTATTCATATATGAAATCATCACAATGTACACTTTAAATATCTTACAATTTTATATGTCGATTATACCTCAAGCTGAAATTTAATTAAAAAGAAACACCTTAGGAACTCTGTACAGTCTTTTGAAAGTTAAAGCTGAAATTTAATTAAAAAGAAACACCTTAGGAACTCTGTACAGTCTTTTGAAAGTTAAAGAGAAAAAAATTCAAAATAACAGCAGTTTTCCAGTCTCCCAGGGCTTATTCCTCTCCCACAGAGGTCTTGTTAGGAGTCTCTGGGGAATGTTCCCCCTCCCCCATCCCTGCTCTTTCTGTGGCTGAGTGATCTACGGAAAGCAGCTCCAAGACTCTCCTAGCTGGCCTTGTGCAGGCTGGCCTCACAGATCCAGTTGTAGGGCCTCTGGCAGACATCATCATTCCACTTGCCATCAGGGAGGAAGTGGGCACAGTCCTCGCCGCCACCCAGCCCATGCCCATGCCAATCGTCTGGCTGGCCTGGTTTCCAGTTTCTGAAGGGAGAAGGCAACAGCAAGCTAGGAAGGTCAGATGGAACAGAATCCAGGTCTGGGAAGAAGGAGCAGTGGGCCAGATTCTTGAGGAGCAGAGCTAAGGGAGGAAGATGGGCACAGAAAGCCAGGATGTACTTACTTGAAACTGGTCTCATAGTCTGTCCCATCCACCCATTTCCAGACTCCTTCAGGATCAGTGAGGCCTATCCAGGTATATGCGTATCCTATATGTTCCTGGAGAAAATTCTGGGACGACAGAAGGACAATGGTGACTTCTCTCCATCCCAGCCAACTCCTTGGACCAAGAGTCTAAACTTTACATGTCAAATCAGTTGAGGAGATTTGGGGTAATTATCCGAGTGCCCAGCCAATTACTGTCATGCACCACTTAACAACAGGGTTGGGTGATTTCGTCATTGTACAAACATCATAGAATATAATGACACAAACCTAGATGGGATAGCCTAGTCTATACCTTGGCTATATGTTATAGCCTATTGCTCCTAGGCTATAAACCTACACAGCACATTACTGTAGAAAATAACACACAATTAAATCAAGCACAGAGAAAATGATGCACTCAAGAGAAGCAGTAAACACAAGATGTATGAGGCTGCTGCTGGCATAACATGGCATACCGTTTAAAAGTAAACTTTTTTTTATAAGCAGAAAGAATATGCTCTAAAATAATAATAAAAACTGTAGTACTATAAATACATTACCCAGTAACATAGTTATTTATTATCATTATCAAGTATTATGTATATAAATGTCCAACCACTACACTGTACACCTGAAACTAATATAAAATAATATTGAATGTCAACTCTAATTGAAAAATAAAAATTAAAAAAAGTATTATGTACTATAATTGTATGTGCTGTATTTTTATATGTATACAACTGGTAGCAGTGCAGTAGGTTTGTTTATACCAGCATCACTACAAACACGTGAGTAATGTTGCCATGTTATGATGTTACAGTGACTATGGCTCACTAGGAGTAAGGAATTTTTCGGGTCCATTATAATCTTATAGGACCACTATCATATACGTGGTCTGTTGTTGACTGAAATATCATTATATGACACATGACTATAAATCTCTGGCTTAGATGGCAGTGTTTTTAAAACTCTCCAGGTGATGCTAATGTGGAGCCACAGCTGAGAACCACTTCCTTAAATGGGACATATCTTGGGACCTAAGCACCAGAGCCCTCACCTGCTCCTCTCTGGAGTTGATGACCACCAGGTGCCCGTTCTCCAGCTGGCAGTACTTCTCAGCCTCAGGCCAGGACTTCCCAGTACGAGAGAACCAGTAGCAGCTGCCTTCATACTCCAGCCAGTTAACAGCACAGCAGGTATTTTGAGTGTCTGAGGGGAAGGGGTTGGGGACGGTCTGAGGGGAGGGGGTCGGAGATGCTGCCCAGTGGGACCTGAGCAGAAAATGGAGCCAGATACTCCCCTGCACACCCCTCACCATTGTTCTTGAGAGCATCCATCTGGCAATTCAGGGAGTTCAAGTCTTTGGTCAGCTGCTGGACTCGCAGGAGCATTTCAGAATAACCTGGGACATACACAGATGTGCAGTGGAGAGAGTACAAGGGGCCCAGCCTAGTATCCTCCATACCCTCCCACCACATTATGCCTAGGTGGAGGGAAGAAGAGGCCTGACCTGCTTTGAGTTCTTGCTGCTCTTTCTCCAACTTGCTCTCCAGAGAAAACACCTTGTCGTTCAAGCTGCGGGCTGGAGGGGAGGGCACTCAGCACCCCAGGCCACTCCCACCCCCAACTCTGTGCTGAGAGCCTGACCTTCACCCTTGCACACACACTCCTGAAGGGTCTCTCACCTGCTTGCAGTTCCTGTTCATGATTTTTCACCGTGGCTTTCAGAGATGTTATCATTTCTTGCAAACTGTCATCTGGAGGACATGGGACTCAGTGCTGAGGAGTCAGCTCCCACTCCCTCCTCCACCACACCTCATCCCAATCCAGAGCCCTTTCCCGTGGGGCTCACCCTGAGAGTGCAGTGCCTGGACCTCAGCCACAGTATTTGAAGTGATATTGCTGAAAGTCGTTCTCAGGGTCACCAGGTCCCTCTGAAATTTGGAATCTGATCAGGTAGATGGGACAATCAGTGCTGAGATTTATCCAGCTCTCTCTGGACCAGTACTGAGCGGGGCACTAGACGTGCATTGTCTCATTGGGTCCTCACAGTGACCCAAACCAAAGGGACAGGTGCTATTGTTATCCAAGATCTCAGATGAGGAAACTAAGACTTAGAGAGGTTAGGTAATTTGGCTATATGACCCATGAATAAGTGGCAGAGCCAGCAGCCATTTTTATTCATCATGATTGCCATTGGTGCCCCCCTCACTGTACCCCACTATTGCCCCCATCCCTGCTCAACCTGTGACCCTCACTTTGGGATCCAATCACACAGATGCCGACCAGCAAGAGGAGGCTGAGGCCCACGGAGAGCAGATGGGGACGGGGTCCAGAGCAGAGATGCTGCAGGAAGGGCTGGGAAAGAGACACCCCTGTAAGAGAAGGAGGCATCAGGACAAAGAAGTGCAGGACATGAGAGAGACAAGGGAGGAGAATAGGGCCACAGGGACCTGTCAGGGATGAAGGCTGTTTTAGGTAAAGCTGGGAGGAGGCTGGACATAGAGGATTGTGGGGCAAGAGATGCCCAGGCCTCTGCCCCTTCATGGACCAGCACAAATTCTCAGTTACATAAGACCCTCACACACAAGGACACACTGATGAGGGACAATGGCGATATGCAAGGTCCTATCATCAGGTCTGGGGGAGGGGGCAGGAGAACACAGAACAAACTGGGGAAACCAGACCTTCAGCAGGCACATGCTCATCTGTGTTGTCAGGTTAGCAAATGTTTCCCTTCCAAACTCAATTATTCATTTCCCTCAGTGCAAACGCTTATGCCTCCCCCAGGGTAGCCAGGCCCACTATGGTCCTCCCTGTCCCTGTTTTCCTGAGGACCTTGAATCCTCTTCATAATGGAGCCCCCAGGGGCTGAGGCCTGACCCCCCTCAGAGTAGGGTCCCCACCAGTGCACATAGCAGAGGTACAGACATGACATGACAGCAGAAATCATTAAGAGGGTATTTTGGGAGACACCATTCTCCTTTCCTCTTACCATTTCTAAACCTCTGGCTCTTCTTCTCACTCTCCAAGGTCTGGAGGTCTTCATACTTCATTGACATTCTTGGATCAACACTGAGGCTCTGAAAGATGAAATGAAGGCAGGGCCAGAGCCAGACTGGAGCTGGAGTTGGGGCACAAGAGAGGCTGGGACTAGGTTGGAGCTAAGGTCAGGGCCAGAGTTGAGGTAAGAATTGAAGTTCTGGCTGAGAATGATCTGGGGGTTAGGGCTATAAATAATGGGCCTGTGTTTGCAGCTGAGGTTGGAAGTGGGGTCAGGATTGAGCTTTGTGCTGGGGTTCGGTTGAGTATGGGATTGGAGGTAGAAGTTAAGTTGGAGCTAAATGTATCGCTAGGACTGGGTCTAACATTGGGCCTGGAATGGAGGGTGTGTCTCTTGCTAGGATTGGGATCATTACACTCAGTTATTAAATCTCCAAGCTGCCTTTTTATATCTCTTCCCATTCAATTCCACCTGAGACCCACAGTCCCCTCTCCATGCTTTTTCTTGCTCCCTGTCCCCTTGGTCTCACCTGTATCCCCAGCCCCATTACCTGTGGAAAGCCTGGAGGCTGTGATTCTTGGGTTTGCTGTGCAGCAATGAGCTGAGTTGGAAAAAACTAAATCTTGGAGTTTGGGTAGATGTGAATGAGGAAGGAATCAAATAACAGAATTCTGTTGGTCTTCCTGTTTGAAAGCCCAGGAGTCTATAATCTGGAATCTCCCGTTTCCTCAACTTTGGGCAGTCAATAATTGGAACACAGACAGAAATTGCGTGACTGGGGGAGTTAAATATGGGGCCAGCTTTGCTCTCCTCTTCCAGAGTGTGCCTCCTCCCCTTCCGCTTCTTTTGAGCTTTCCTGACTTCCTCATTTTTACCATTTGGTAGAAGGGAGCTGGACCAGCAGGGACAAGAAGTGCAGTCTATTGCTTCTTCTCTGCCCCACACCCTCTTTCACTTCTTGCATCTGAATTTTCCAGATGTTGGTATCTCCACCATTGCATACCTGGGTCTAGAGGAGCCCCTTTCTCTGCTCTTGCTCAATTATGACCCATGTTCCAATTATGAGCTTCTTTTGGGGCCTCAGCCATCAATTTCCCACATTTCTGGGCTAGCTCTCTCCACTCTACTCACAAGGAGGGAAGAGGGTGAAGGAGAGTATTCCTGGCTGAAATGGGATGGGAGGAGCAGGATATAGGAGCAAACTTTTACTGAGCATTAAATCTGTGATGGGGATTGTGTCAGACACTTGCTGTACATTAACCATCCAGTTCTTACAAGAACCATGGGAAGCATTTTGAATGGTTAGTATTATTGTGAAAATAATTTTGACCTTGTGGACCCCTGACAAGGTCTCAGGGATCTTAAGGAGTTCATGGTCCCACCATTGAGAACCTTAGTGTAAAATAATTAATATTTTTATAATGATCTCGTATCCAGCCATATCGACAAATTCTTCTGTTCTAGAAGTTTTTAAAAAATGCTAGCTTCTTGCATGTTAAGCTGTCAATTACAACATCAATTATTAGAGAAAATTATGTCAAAACATTTTATTTTATATTTTCCTGCATGTGTTACATTTTCAAACTTATACATTATATATTTAAAGTCAGTTAAAATTTATTTAATTCATTAATGAGGGAGTCAATAGGATGGTAAAGCTAATAAAGAGGAATATAAGATAGAAAGAAATATTGATAGGAGTAGAAAAAAAGATTGCTAGAATAAAATTCCTAGCAATACTAGATGCAATGCTTACTTGCCCTACCAGACAATAAACCTCTAATCTTTGAGTAATCTTTCCTACCAGACAGAATTCATTTGTATTGCTATTGGACAAGAATCATTTACCTTGTATATAAGCTTTTCTATAGAGTCTTAACATACACTAATCAGTTTTACATATAATTCAAACAAATGCATATTTCCCTAAAGAGTTAAATAATTCTCGTGTGAGTCTCTTAGACAATATTCGAGTATGGCAATTATAGACATGCATTCATTGTTTTGCCTATCTCTAAGTTTTGGATATTTTTTCTAAAAAGTCCCCCTTGTGATAACAATCTCAAAACATTTTTCTTTATTACCAAAAAAGGCTGGCATTTGTCCTGATTTGTTTATACAGGTGTAGCATGAAGTACTAATGAACATAAATAAGCCTCCTGTACTGTGGTTTGCAAATCTAGAGCCATATAGTATTAGTCTACCAAAGTTTAGGAAAGTTTTGTCTATTGAGCATTGTAAGACTGAATTAAGTTGTGATACAATTGTAAATAATAAGGTTCAAGATGAATTATCTTTACTGAAACAATTCAGCATATTCACTGGCACCTAATATTCAGTATTCACTTATCAAATACTTTCTTTTAAATTTCTACCCACAAAGATAATGAGAAACAATTTACCTTCATGGGGCAAGCACAGTAGTGCATATTCACTGTCATACTTATGTCAATGCTACTGTTCTCTATCATAATGTCCACTCCACTGTCAGCTCTATGCCTACTCACTGTTCTCTATCACAATCTAGTCCAGAGGGCATCTAGGACTTTTATTACCTTGCTGTTGCACAAAATATCATGGTAATATATTATATTGATAACGTTATACTAATTTGACTAGATGAGGAGGAAGGAGCAAGCACTCTTGATGTGTTTGTAAGACACATGCACCTTAGGGGAGGTGAATAAACTCTGCTAACATTCCTGTGGTCTTGGGTATATCAGGTTGCCCTTCAAAAGTTAGGGCCAAGTTGCCACACCTGCACTGCCCATCAGGAGGAAAGAGGCAAGATGCTTCGAATGTCCTTGAATTTTTGAGAAAATATGTAGCATATGTGGATTTGTTGCTCTGAACTACTAACGGAATGACCTATAAGGCTACCAATGTTACAATAGGCCTAGAACAAGAAAAGGCTTTGTATCAGATTCAGACTGAAGTATAAGACTTTCTACTATTTAGGCCTTACAACTGAGCAGACCCAATATTATTGGAAATATCTATGGCAAGTAAGGGGACTATACTGAGCCTCTGGCAAATGCCAGTATGGAAATCACAGGGTAGACCCCTAGGACTTTGAAATAAAATAGTGCCCTCTTTTGTTTACCACTTTTTTCTATTTGAAAAGCAGCTCCTGGGCCTGCTCCTAGGGCTTAGTAGAGATTCAAAACCTAACTACTAAACTTTAAATGACTATGTGACCTAAAATCTCCATCATGATCTAGGTTTTATGTGATGATCAAAATCGTAGAATTAAACACAGGTTGCAATAAATTGTAAAATACAAATGTTTCATACATACAAGATGAGTCCAGGGGGGCACTATTGCCTTGGTAGGTGGCTCACACTTCCATTGGACCTCTTCCTAATGCTTTGCTGCAGTTTCTTCAGTTCACATCTAGGACCTCATAGGGAGTTCCATATAGTTAGTTAAGGGGAGAGTAAAAACCATATTCTTGATTCGAAGATGGCTTTTCAAGTTGTGCTAACAACTATGCACAAGTATATGGCTGCTGCTGTATAGCCTTACTTAAGGGATGCCCCTAAAGGCAATGATGAAGGGAATTCTTTCAATAGGCAGATGTTTGGTCAATACATTTGGTTGTTCATTTTAGGTGGGAGGGGATAGTGGTTTAATGAATTCACTAGCTGGTCAAAGTCTTGGGAAAAATAAGATTGGAAAATTGTTGACAAGTTTTTTTGGGGAAGAGATATATGGCTGAACATCTCAGAAAGAGCATATAGGATGAAGATATTTGTATCCCATGTAAAAAGGACAGCCACAGATGAAGAAGCTCTCAATAACCAGGTAGATCATATGATCTGCTTTGTGAATGCCAGTCAACTTTCCCTGGTGCTTACTCAATTGACTCATGTAGAAAGTTACCATGGCAGCAGAGATGGAAGGGATATATTAGCTCAACAACATAGATTTTCTTTCCCAAGGATGACTTGGCTATTGCTATTGCTGAGAACTCAACTTGCCCAAAGCAGAGACCAACACTGAGCCTTGATTTGGAGTCATTTACCTTGGCAGGTTAATTACATTGGACTCCTTGCATCATGAAGGGAGCAGCAATATACCCTTAGAAAAATAAGCATGTATTCTGAATATGGATATGACTTCCTTTCCCATTATGCTTCTGCCAGCATCTCCATTCATGGATGTATATATACCATGTTATCTTTCATGCCATCACCTCCAACTAAGGAACTCAGTTCATAATAAAGGAACAATGGACTGATATCTGTGGCATTGCCATATGAATAACACTCAGATAGATAGCTGGACTGAGTGGTAGGAGAGTTTTTTGAAGGTGCTATTACAGCACTAGGTGGGAGACAATACCCTACAAGTTTGGGGGTGCTGTTCTACAGGATATGGCATATTCATTATACAATATATCATGCTATATTCCTCATGGAGATAGTGCACAAGTCTGGGAACCAAAGTATGAAGGTGAGAGTGTGTCCTCTTACTAATTTACTTAATATTTCACTTACAGATTTTTATTTCCTGTCTCACAATCGTGGGCTCAGTGGGTTTGAAGATCTTAGTGCCAAGGAATGAATCTTCTCACATGGAAAACAATCACTGTTCTCTTAAACTCCCACCTAAGAATCATTCGTTCA